TAATTAAAAATAGAAAACTTTTAGACATGGAAAATATAATCACTATAATTAAAAACTCAGTGATTAGTTAAAATGAATGATGAGAGATTAGTAAAATGAAGACTGCTCTGAAGAAATAGCACAAGTAGCCAGAGCTCAAGTGAGACAGTAAGTGTGAAAGAGAGGTTAAAAGATATGATAAATAGACTGAAGAATTCTAATATACCTCTAAATTGAATCCAAGATAATGAATAAAAAAAAAAGGAATAAAAACAGATGAACATAAGGGAAAGGAAACAAAAATAATATAAAAACAGGGAGGGGGACAAAACAGAAGAGACTCTTAAATATAGAGAACAAACTGAGGGTTACTGGAGGGGTTGTGGGAGGAGTGATGGGCTGAATGGGTAAGGGGCACTAAGGACTCTACTCCTGAAATCATTGTTGCACTATATGCTAACTAATTTGGATGCAACTTTTAAAAAATAAAAAATTAAATTAAAAAAGTAAAATAAAAACAGTATTTGGGGAGAGTTAATACTGAATATATACCAAGTGTGACAATTAAAAAAAACACAAACCACACCTAGCTATATTCCAATAAAGCTGCAGAACACCCAACAGAAAGAGAAGATCTTAAACACAGCTAGAGAGACAAGAGGGCATCTTAAATGAAATAACAACTAGATTATCAGAAGATTTTCAAAAAGAAACAATGAGAATCATAAGACAGAAGAATCAAATTTTCAAAGTGCTGAAAGAAAAGAACTGTCGACTGAGAGTGGCGTGCCTAGCAAAATTAAATTCAAGAGCAAGGGCAATAGAAGGACATTTAAGATCGACAAAAGGAGTCACCTCCAAGAAGAACATTGTTAAAAATGGTGCTAAAGGACATACTTCAGGAAGGAGATTATAAGTCACTGAATGAAAGTAAGAAATGGAAAAAAAAAGGAATAAAGAGGGAAAAAATGATAATTATGTAAGTACATATAAGCAAACATATGGTAAAAATCATAGTAATAAAATAATAATGTTTTGAGTGTTTTTGGGGGGTTAGAGACAATAAAATAATGTAAAAAAACCTAAAATATGCAGAAACAACTGCATATAAATTGGGAAATATAAGAGGTGTAAAAACATTCTGCTACTAAACTTCAGTATTCCTCTTGCAAAGGCTTAAACTATAGTTTTCTTTTTTTTTTCAGTCTTCTTCAGGCTTTGGTATCAGGATAATTCTGGTCTTTTAAATACGTTGGAAAGTATCCCTCCTTCTTTTATTTTCTGAAAGAGGTTTTGTAAAATTGGTGTTAATTCTCCTCTAATGTTTGGTAGAATTCCAGTGAAATCATTTGAGCCTGGAGATTTCTCTTTGGAGAGCATTTTAGTTAAAAATTCAAAGGCTCTAATGGTTATAGTACCATTCAAATTATGTATTTCATCTTCGTTGAGATTTTGTATTTTGTGGTTTTCAAGGAATTGGTTCATGCCTTCTAGGTTGTTTTGATTTATGAGCCGAAATTTATGAGCCTAAATTGGTTGTTATATTCCCCTATTTTCCTTTTAATAGCTGTAGGATCTGTAATGATGGACTTTATTGTATTCCTCATGCTGCTAATTTGTGTCTTCTCTCTCTTTATAAGTCAATCATGCTACACTATAAATTTCATTGCTCTTTCAAAGAACTAGCTTTTGGTTTTATTGATTTTTTAAATTTTTTTTAACGTTTATTTATTTTTGAGAAGAGAGAGACAGAGCGTGATTGGGGGAGGAGAGAGAAAGAGGGAGACACAGAAACAGAAACAGGCTCCAGGCTCTGAGCCGTCAGCACAGAGCCCGATGCGGGGCTCAAACTCAAAAACCACAAGATCATGACCTGAGCCGAAGTCAGACACTCAACTGACTGAGCCACCCAGGCGCCCCAGTTTTATTGATTTTTTTAATTGGATTTCTATTTTCTACTCCATTCCTTTTTCTTCTTTATTGTTTCTTTTCACCTACTTACTTTTGATTTATTTTGCTTTTTTTTTTTTCTACCTCATTTAGGTAGGAACTTAGATTTTTGATTTGAGACCTTTGCTATTTTCTAATATAAACAATTTGCGTTATACACTTTCCTCTGAGGGTCACTTTAGCTGTATCCCACATACGTTTATGTGTTGTATTTTCATTGCCATTCAAGTCATTTTATTTTTAAGTTTTCTTTTGAAACTTCCTTGTAGAACAATGAGCTATTTGGAAGGCTGTTGTTCAATTTTCTTGTATTTAGAGATTTTCCTGTCAACTTTCAGCTATTGTTTCTAGTTTGCTTCCATTGTATCAGAGAACATACTCTGTTTGACTTTAATCATTTTCCATTTCTTGAGGCTTGTTTTATGGCCCAGGATGTAGTCTATCTTGATGAATATTTCGTGGTATTTGTAAAAAGGTATATTGTTGTTAGGTGGGATCTTCTACACATGTCATTTAGATACTGTTGATTTGGTATGTTGTTAGATCTATATATCCCAGCTATTTTTCTAATAGTTCTTCTGTTAGTTGCCAAGAGGGAATGTTGGAATCCCCAGCTATAACTGTGGACCTGCCCATTTCTCCTTTCAGCTCTGTCGGTTGTTGTTTTAAATCTTTTCTTCAGCTTTATTAAAGTATAACTGACCAATAAAATTGTATATATTTCAAGTGTACAGTGTAATGATTTGATATATCTACTTTGTGAAATGACTTACACAATCAGGTTAATTAACACAATCATCACCTCACATTGTTACCTTTTTATTTTTGTGGTGAAAATGCTTAAAATCTATTCTTTTAGCAAATTTCAGTGTATAACTACTAACTATAGTCACCCTTCTGTACAATTGGTGATTGTGCTGTACTTATTTGTCTTAGGATTATCGATTCATGTATTTTGAGGCTCTGTTGTTTGGTGCATACATATTTCAGATCATTGTGACTTACTGGTGGGTTGATTTCCTGATCATTTATGTAAGGCCCCTCTTTATTTCTAGTAACTTTCTTTGCTCTAAAGCCTACCTTTTCAGATAATTAATATAGCCACTCCTGTTTTTTTTTTTTTAATTTATGGTTGCATAGATATCTTCTTCCATCTTTCTACTCTCAAGCCAGCTATGTTGATATTGAAGTGAATTTCTATAAAGTGCATATAGTTGGGTGATTTCTTTGCCCACTCTGCCAGTCTTTGTCTTGATCAGTGTATTTAGGCCATTTATATTTAATGTGATTAATTCCTTGTTAGAGTTTATCTCTGTCATTTTATGATTTGGCTTCTGTTGGTTTTCTTGTTTCTTATTTCTGTTAATGTTTTTCTTCCTTCTTTGTGTTAGTTGAATGTTATTTAGCATTCTATCTTAACTTATTTATAGTATTCTTGAGTGAATCTCTTTGAACAGTGTTCATAGTGGCTGCTCTGGTTGTCACAATACACACAGATAACTTATCACACTCTACTGGTATTAACACTTTATCACCTTCCTCACTTGTATTTATGTGACTTTCCCTCCCCTGCCTTTAAATAATATTGTTTTGTTTATCAAGTGGAGTTATAATTTGGGTTATAATTATCAAATATAACATAGAAATTATGAGAAAATGTGTTTAACGTAGATGCCTATATTCGTGCTCTTTTTGTGGCTCTTTCTCTCATCTTATTATCTTCTTTACACTTGAATTTTTTCCTGTAGCCAGAATTTAAGCATAGACTTGCTCGTGATAAATTCTTTTGACTTTTCATTCATCCTAACATTATTTATTTCCTTCTTATTTCTCAAGGTTATTTTTTCAGACACTGAATTTGCAGTTAACAGCTCTTCTTCATCACTTAAAAATGTTGTGCTAATGGGGCCCCTGTGTGGCTCAGTTGGTTGAGCATCAAACTCTCAATTTCAGCTCAGGTCATGATCCCAGGGTCATGGGATTGAGCTCCATGTTGGGCTCTGCACTGAGCTTGGAGCCTGCTTAAGATTTTCTCTCTCTCTCTCTTTCTCTCTCTCTCTCGGTCTCTCTCTACCTTGCTTGTGCTCTCTCTCACTATCTCTAATAAAAAATAAATAAATTTTAAAAAGTGTGCTAAAAATAAGAAGGAGAGAAAGCAAAGCAAAGACAAGACAAGACAAGATACTGTGCTACTCCCTTTTGCTCTCCATTGTTTCAGAGGAGAAATCCAGTCATGTGAGTTGGTGTTCTCCTATAAGCAATGTATTGTTTCCTTCTGGCTGCTTTCAAGATATTTTGTCTTTAATTTTCAGAATTTTAATTATGTGTTTTGGTGTGGATTTCTTTGGATTTATTCTGTTTGGAATTTGCTCAGTCTCTTGAATGTGTACTTTGCATTTTTTGCCAAGCTTGGGATGTCATTATTTCCTTGAGTACTCTTTCAGTCCTGCTCTCTTCCTCCTCTGGGACTCTCATTATGCAAACACTGGGTCTTCTGTGAGTGTCCCAAAGGCCCCTCCATTACTCATTTATTCTCTTTTTTGTTCAGTCTTTTCTTCCTCTGTTCAGACTTGATGAATCCTGTTTATGTGTCCCGAGACCCCTGAATCTACCCTCTGTCATCTCCGCTCAAGTATTGCCCAGACATTGCCTTTTTTTTTGAATCTCTATCCCTATGTTTTGTCGGTTTTATAATTTCCATTTGGATCTGTTTCGTAACTTCTATGTCTTTGCTGAGATGACCTTGTCTTATCTTCTCCTTAGGTCTAGCTACAATTATTTAATCATGCAGAATGTCTATTGTGTGAGTTCACGTCACAATAAGCCAGTCGCTAACTCAGTGTGAAATCAGAGACCCACCCCTGCTGCTTCTGATTACCTTCACTCTGAAATATCTTACTGGAATTTTTTACTAATTCGACCTGATGTGAGTAACACCGAGGTGAGGTGATTTCTCATTGTATCAGAATTTTGTGTACCAGAGAAGGGACTATGCAGGTGCCCCAGGTAGAGCTTAAGAGAGACAGATAGAAGGAGGTCTGTTCATCTTCTTCAACCATAGAGAGCACCTGTATTATCTTATCTTTATTATGTGCTAAAATTCCGTGTAAGATTTTATATTACAAACAGAGAGGAGGGTTCTGCTGCTAAAGAATTCAGAAAATTACAGACCGTGATACCTATGAGGTTTATAGAAGCAGTTTAGTAACAGACACCGAGACCGGAGGCCTAAAAACTTCCATTGCTGAAATTTTCTAGATTTCATGTTTTAAAAGAATTTGTCATAGTTTGCTGAAGCATTGTTTTATGACAGCTGCTTTAAAATCTTTGTCAGATGATTCCAGAGTCTGACTCATCTTGGGCTCCGCACACGCTGATGGCCTTCATGTTCACGCTGAGGTGGTCCTGATTTCTGGAGTGACGATGCTTGCCACTTGAATGTCAAAGAGAGAGGAGAGAGACAGAGAGAGAGAGAGAGAGAGAGAGAGAGAGGGAGAGAGTTCGTTCTCAGACCCATCGGGACAAAGGTGCTTTCCTGGCTGGGAGCTTGTGGGGCAGGAACCCTGTCTCTTGGTGGGGGAGGAGAGCCTCAGGCCCTGGGGACTCAGAGTCCTGGGCCAGGGCCACTTGCCAGTGTCACGAGACTGCCCTGTGCTCTTAGTAGGAGAGGGGGCTATCAGGCAGCGAGCAGGCAGGGCGCCTCTGGCTGCCAGCAGGGTCCTGAGTCTGTCCCCCCGGCCAGTGGCAGAGTCACGCTTACCTGGCATGTCACAGGGATGCCGCCAGAGCCGGAGGCAGAACCGCTACCTGGGCTTCGTTCTGGTGTTAGGCTTGGGTCTGGAAGTTCTCCAGGTGCCTCTGCCGTGCTGCTCCTCTAGTCCCGGGCGACAAACCACCCCCCCCCTTTCTCCAACTGCGTCTGAAAGTTCTCTGGTCGCTTCCTGCCTGGCGTCCAGGGTTTCCAGTTATACTGCAAGGAAGAAACAGGTCTCCACCGTCGTGTCCAGACCAGAAGCTCTGCTTAAACTATAGTCTAAGCTACGATCTTACACAAAGTCGAGGTAAAAGTCAGCAAAGGAATGCGGTGGGCAAATCCCAAATCAGAAGAAGGAAGGAAAAGAAAGAATTGAGAATAAGAACAGTGTCGACCACTCACTGGGCGCTGCCTGTGCACTGGGCACATACACTCTTGCACACAAACGCACCTGCACACCCAACCCTTACGGATTTAGTTTCCATCTCGCTGACTATCCCAGTGTTCCTCTCTGCAGACCCAGCCGTGCCCTTGAACTCCAGGTTTGCATGGAAATTGCCCCCTGAAGTCTCCGCTTGGACACAGAAATCGTTCAGCCTTAACGTGCCCAAACCCAAACTGTGATCTCGTCCTCAAACCAAGCCCGGTCCTCCTCCGGGCTTCTCGCCTCTCTGAGTGACCGTGTCTGCCTTCCCGCGGCTCGGGTCAGACCCCCGGAGCCATCGCCTGGCCCCTCCCTGCCTCATCACGCGGACGCAGCCCCTCGGCAAATCCGGCTGCGCGCTGACACTGGCACGTGTCAGGCGTCTGACCACCCGTCCGCATTGTCAGGGCTGCTAACCTACTCCGAGCCGCCCTGGACGTCTCGGGACGTCACAACCGTCTCCCGTCTAATTAGTGCGCGGGCCCCAGAACGTTCTCGCTGCCTCACCCTCTGGCCGCGGTGAGAGGGCAGCCAGAATCGTCTTGCTGGAAGTTAAGGCAGACGTACTCACCCCCTCTCCCCCGACTCGGGCTCCCACGACCTCTCCTGTTCCACAGACTGGACATCCTCTCCCGGCCATCTGGTTCAGCTCCTCACTTTCCCCCCCCTACTGTGTGCCCGGGAGACTGACCCTCATGGCCTGTGCCTACCCTGTCCCTTTCCCTCTGGCTTCGGCCTCGGTTAGAATGGGCGATACCAGCAGGAGGGAAGAGCAAAGGTGGGCTATTGTCTTTCTCCCCTCCTTCTTGGCCAAGGGTTGGCACGGCCTGTCCCTCCTGATGCCCACTGACTCACCGGGACCTGTGGGTCTCCTGGGGCTCAGTGGCTTTATGCCCCGGCACAGAGTCATTCACCTTGAATCTGAGCACACCGTCGTACCCCGTTTTTGAATACGCCAAATTTGTTTGCTGGGGCCCCTCGTCTCCACCCGTGTCCCTTCTCCTCTCGGTCTGGCGGGGTACCCGCATGCTGTCGCCTCAGCGCCTCCCATCTGCTGTCCTCTGTGCCTGGACCGGCCAGGATCTGGGCGGACCACCCCCCCCCCCCCAGGCTTCCCAAACATGACCGTCAGGGACGTCTCCACTCCCAAGTTGTGATCGTTGTATTTCAAGTTGCAATATCCACTCCCCACCCCCGCCCTCTTGCCTCCCCGTGGCCTGGCTCGTTCCACGTAAAATTACAACGTAAGGAACGCGAGGCGGGGAAAAGCTGGCCGTGCCCGACACTGCGGTAAAACCTGCGAGGATCTGCCGACGAGAACGCACCACAGTCAGACGCGCTTGACCTGTTGTTTCCATAAATCCTTGTGCCACTCCCATGGGGTAGGGACTCCTTCTCTTTCCTTGCAGGAAGGAGTGAGCAGAGGCTGTGAGAGCACGCTGCCCAGACTCGAGTGGCCCACGGGGCCCGGGGAAGGGACTGGAAAGACTCACTGCTTCAAACCTCGTGAAGCTACAAGTCAAGGCTGTCAGTGCTTCAGAACAGCTGTACGTTCGCACACGGGTGCTCGGAGGGGATGAAATTGAACCCATATTCTTTGGCAGCTGGTCCGCGGGTGCCTCGAGCTGCGACCTCCCGAAGTCACGGGATCCGGGGCCGCCGTGAGCGCTGTCGCCACCGCCCTGGTCGCCGCGGCCCCGGCTCCGGCCACGCGCTGGGCTCTCCGTTTGTGCTGAGCCAAGGACGAAGACCTGAGCCGAAACGGTTCATTCTCTCTGCTCGCCTGATCTCTCGTGGCCCGGCTCCAGGGGCCCCTCGCGCGGTGTGGGGGTCTCTGGACCCGAGGCTGCACCGGCTGCACCCCCGGCCGGGCGTGCGTGCCTGCGCTCGCCTGTTTCCCTCCCGCGGCCGCTGCACATCTTTAATCTATTATTCCTCTTATATAACTTTGTTTTGCTGCTTGAACTTCCATTCCCATGACTTTATGTTGAAAAACATCCTCAAATCGAGGCTTTGCATTTCACAACCGCCCCCGAGCTGGGTCACCCCTGGCTGTCTGCTGCTCGCTGGCCCCCAAGCCAGGGGGGAAGGACTCGGGGTCCCCGGGGAAGCAGGCTGCATGCCCGTCCACACAGGTGGTCACTACTTCCACTAGGTGAGGCCCATGCCCGTCACCTGCTTGCAGGCCCTGAGGCCAGGGGTGACCCCTGCTGCCCACACCCATCACTTGCCAGATGCTGGGTGCACGGCTGTGCTACACTCAGGGTTGTGTGTGTGCAGAGAACCTGGGTTTATGTGTGCACAGCACTCGGGATTCTGTGTGCATAGAGCACTCTGGGTTGTGTGTGCAGAGCACTCGGGAGTCTGTGTGCACAAACCACTCTGAGTTGTGTGTGCAGAGCACCTGGGATTGTGTGCAGAGCACTTAGGGTTGTGTGTGCAGAGCACCTGGGGTTGTGTGTGCAGAGAACTAGGGTTGCGTGCACAGAGCACTCAGGGTTGAGTGTATAAAGCACTCAGGGCTGTGTGTGCACAGCACCTGGGATTGTGTGTGCAGAGCACCCGGGGTTGGGTGTGCAGAGCACCCGGGATTGTGTGCAGAGCACTCATCTGGGCCAGGGCTGCCACTAAGGATACACTGGCAATGAAAGTGTGGGGCAGGTGAGCCTGAGACTGTTACCTACTGAGTAACGGTGTAGAAACCAAACGACGTATGTGGGTGTCTTAAGAAGTCAGATGTGAAGTATGAGCCACTGTGCCTCGTGCTTCTGTCCTGAGTGCGTCCGAATAAGCTGCTCCTCGCATGGGTGCCCCCCTCCCCAGGCTCTCTCCCTCTGTGGCCCAGCCCCGCCCACAATCTCCCAGTCACCTGGAGGTGCTCTGGGGTCCGTGGCTTCCCGACCTCTTCTGAACCCTAAGCACTTCCTGCCGTGGTGGCAGGACGGGCCCAGAATGGGCCACTGACCACTCACCACTCGTCACCTCACCTGTCCGGATCTGCACGTCTACGTCTTTCCAGTGGCCCTGGTTTCTCTCTTTCCCTCCTTGCAGAGGGGCCGCGGCGGGGAGGTGGTAACAGGAGAATCATAAGAAAGTGCACAAGCTTTGAAAAGTGACCTCAGAATCATCCAGAGGAATCCGGATTCGTGTCAGAAGCCGAGGGCCTTCTCACTTGCCCTTTGCGGGTTGAGCGGCTCCTTGTTACTGAAACGTCCCTGGCCCATATTTCCATTGGACTGTTTGTTTTGTTACCATGATTTATGTATTGGGAGCAAAAACCCTTTGTCAGATATTTGATTTACAAATATTTTTTCTCATCCCCTGGTATAGTTTTTAATGATGTCTCGAAGGGTAAAAGTTCATACTCTTAATGCTTTTATCCACAATTTATGTTTCTTAACATCCTCTTTAGGAAAATTTTACCAAATAGAAGCTCATTAATCTTTTCTCCCTTGATTTTTCCGTAAATACCATTAACCAACTTGAGAGTATTGACGATTATGGATGACTCCACATAAGACCAGCAAAACTGTTTTCTCAAGCTGAAAAATTCACCAAGTTAAAAGATATTCTGGGCCGTAAATCTAACCCTAAAAACGGTAAAAAAATAGAAAACACAAATACTTTCTCAGAATATAACAAAATTAACTAGAAAAAGAAAACGATAATATATTTGGAAAATCCCTGAAGATACGGAACTAAAGAGCACACTTGTAATTAACCCAGGCATCCAAAGAGAAACCCCACAATCAATTAAAAATATTTTAGGGTAAATAAAAATACAATACTTAATCACTTGCAGGATATAGCTAACACAGTGCTCAGAGGGAAATTTAGATTATTAAATGCGTGTGTTAAGATAAAGAAAATATCTACAATCAGTAATATCAAAAACTATAGAAAAACTAAACATATTTCCATGTACAACAATGAACATTAAAACTTGAATTTTAAACATACCATTCACTGGGGAGTCTCGGTGGCTCAGTCAGTTGAGCATACGACTTCATTGGGGCCAGTTCATGATCTCACGATTCATGATTTCAAGCCCCAAATCGGGCCCACTGCTGTCAGCATGGAGCCTGCTTCGAATCCTCTGTTTCCCACTCTCTCTGCCCCTCACTCACTCACTGTCTCCATATCTCTCAAAATAAATAAATAAACTTAAAAAAAAATACCATTCAGGGGCGCCTGGGTGGCTCAGTCAGGGAAGCGTCTGACTTCCACTCAGGTCATGATCTCACGGTTCGCGGGTTTGAGCCCCGTGTCAGGCTCTGCGCCGACAGCTCGGAGCCCGGAGCCCGCTTCGGATTCTGTGTCCCAATCTCTCTCTGCCCCTCCCCTGCTCACTCTCTGTCTCTCTCTGTCTCAAAAATAAGTAAACATCAAACATTTTAAAAAAGAAATACCATTCGCCACCATTCATTACTGCGAAACAAAGGAAGCACATAGATACGAATATAAATAAATAAGTGGGGGCATCTAGGCTGAAAACGACAAAACACTGATGAAAGAAATAAAAGGGATCTCAGCAAATGGAGATACACCCTGTTTGGTGGGTTAGAAGTCTCAGTATTCCAAAGATGTCAGTGTTCCTAGTTCCCCCCGATCGGATCAGTACAGTATCAATCCAATTTCAGCACCTCTGTCCTGGAGACGAGAAACTGAATCTAAAGTCCACATGGAAAGGCAAAGCAACTACAATAGCCACCCAAATTCTGAAAAACAAACAAGCAAAGGAACAGCGTTGTAGGACTCCCATGACCCGATGTCAAGACTGGCTTTACACCCGCAGTGATGAACACGGTACGTCCTTGTGACGAGCAGGTAAGTCTGTGGGGGGACGCCCAGAAACAGATGCACATACAGTGGCCAGTGACTCCCTGCAGAGGCACTAAGGCTTTTGGTTCAGAAAAGCAGTCTTTCGATTAATGCTGTTGGAAAATTTAAATATTCACATGCAAAAGAAATTGATCCATATTTTGCCTAAAATACAAACAGTACTTCCTAACGAATGATGCGCTTAAACATAAAATGAAAAATCCCAAAACTTCCACAACAAAACACCAGAGGAAATCTGCATGACCTGAGTTTTGGTGATGAGTTTGTAGACACGATGCCAAAGGCATGATCCATCAAAAGAAAGCTTTGCTGAATTTGACTTAATCAAACATTAAAACAAAACTCGTGCTTTGCAAAAGACACTATACGTACAAGGCAGAGACAAGCCTCAGAGTTGGGAAAAATAGTTGCCAATTACAAATCTAACGAAGACCTTGTATCCAGAACTCTCTCTCTCCCTCTCCTGCTCAACAATAAGTATTGCTAAAAAATTTTTTTGAAAGTGACGATGCCAAGTGCTGGCATGGATGTGGAGAAACGAGAACTCTCGTTCTGTGCCGGAAAGGACCTAAGAGCTGGAGAGCCGGCTGGGGTGACGGCTGTTTCTTGCGATGCTGACGCACGCTTCCCACCGGGCCCGGAACCCCCTGAGCCACGTCTTCACCCGAGTGCATGGAAAACTTACATTTCCACAAAAAGCTGTTTGTAAACATTTACGTCAGCTTTATCCACCTCAGATTGGAAATGGCCAGGTCGTCCTTTAACAGAGAAAAGATAACCAAACCGGGGTCTATTCCCACAGGAGAACAAGGCTCAGCAGTGAGAAGGAGGGAGTGGTTGTTTCACAAAGAACACGGTGAGTCTCGGCTCCATTTTGGTCAGTGAAAGAAGCCAGACCCCAAAGGCTGCATATTGCATTTTTCCATTTATATGACGTTCTGGAAGACGCAGAAAATGTAGGGATGGAAAGGCGATCAGTGGTTTCTCGGGGTTTGGGAAGAAGTACAAACAGGCCGTGCAAGGAAATGCGTAGAGCAGTGGAATCCATCTGTGTGGTGCTGGGGTGAACGACTACCTATTTGTCAAATGCTGTAGAAACTCAAGAGTAAAATTTATTGCATGCAAAGTTAAAAAAAAAAAAATCAGCCCGGATTCGAAGGGAGCCAAGATGGAACGCAGACTCTGAGAAACTAATCTGACTGTATTACAAATGATAGCACAGCTCAAAGCTTTGGCTCCGGAACTGGAAGAGATGGTGGGAAGAGTCTGGTGCAAATTAGGTCTGGACAACCTGAGGGGCTGTCAGGTCAGCCGCTTGGTGGAGCCAGAGGACCTCAATCGAAACCTCGCAGAACATAAAGGCACCTATTACCTAGATACATTGGCCACTCGAGCAATGTGGGTGAGGAAATTTTACTCAACTAGCTGAACACAACGTTGGAGCGTGTCTACTGGCCGAGAGTAGATTCGTAGTAAAACTGTGAAGATGGGAAACGTACCAGAGCCTGGGTCTTAGGCTCCTCGCCTGGTTTCCTAGAATCACTCTGTATTATGAGTTTTGACTGCGTCCTGGTCGTTGTTTGATTTTTCTTGGAACTGATTGGAACTTTGACTTGTCCGCGATCTACAGCCTGAGCAGTTAAAAAAGAAATAACATAAATAAGCGTGATCATGTTGGCTCCGTACGTGCAGAGCAAGTCAGTCTCCCCATTGTTGTGGGATTGTCATCGATCTGCCACTGAGACGCCTACCACTCTCCACGGGTAGAGACCTACTGACACCACAGGGTCCACACCGTCCAGAACACCTGGAATTCTTCAGTGTCCTCCGTGAAGACCACTCATGCCCGTGACCCTCTGGCAGCCGTAGGCCTCCCCGCGGGAGCCTGTCCAGATCTCGCCATCATGCAAGGGGCTTACCTCTCAATATTCAACTTTACCTTACTTTCGGCAGACAAAGCAAATTATGTCAAACGGTTCCTGCTTGTACTCAGTCCCCCAGCCAGTGGGCACAGGCTGCTGTTTTTCCATATGTTCCAAAGAAGCCTCTGCT